ATTTTAATAAAAAAAAAAAAAAAAAAAAAAAAAAAAAAAAAAAATTGTCTTTTGTAAAAACAATGATGTTTTTTAATTTTGCTTATATTTTTACTGTAATTTATTATCTTTCATAAACTAAAAAGATATATTAAATACTTGAACTACTCTTATAATATTTTCATTAATGTATTTCCTAAATATGTAAAGCTTTCTTTTTTATACATATAAAATTGTAGATAATATTATTTTTAAGTTCTCATTTATTTTTAATTTTTTTTTTTTTTTTCATGAATTTTAGTGATTGTAATGCACCATTTTTTGTTTTCATTTATATCAATAAAAATAATGAATGATTATCAATATTTATGCAAGTCTTAAAATAAATAAAAAAAAAAAAGTAAAAAGAAATAGAAAATATATGTAAATTATAATAGTGTAAATTCTTTAACTGTATTTTCTATATACATTTTTTTTAAAAAAAAAAAAAAAAAAGATTTAGTTTTAATTCTTAAATTTTTTCTTTTTTCTGAATTATATTATAGGTAAGATGAAAAAAAAAAAAAGTTATTAAAATTTTATAAAATTTTAATTTTCTTTTATTTAAAATTTCTCCTAAGAATTGTGATAAATCACCCTATGTTATTTTTATAAATATATTCAAAATAAAAAATGAATGAAGATGATAAAAGCAAAGAAATTATTACGAGCTGTAATTATGGATTGAAAAGACATTATATATCTGAAAATGAAAAAAATAAAGATTTAATTTTTCAAATTGACTATGAAACTCTCTTAAAAAATTGTAAAGAAGAAGAAAAATACATTGATTTAAATTTAGAAATTAATTATAATTTAGAGGAAATTGTGGAAAATAAGGATAATATTAAAAAATGTGTATATTTGCATGATGAAGTAGATGATGAATATTTATATAGTAAAAAAGAAAATGATTATTATATAAAAAATAATAAATATTATTATGATAATAATTTCCATTCTGATATAGATAATGGAATTTCTCCATTTAATTATGAGAGAGAAAAAGAAAATATAGACAAAAAAAATAAATATTTACATTATGAAAAAGATTACAATAGTGAAAATAACTCATCATATACAAATGATACTTACTGCTCAGATTTCACTGAAAATTCTTCAAAATATGAAAAGACAAAATCTATGAATTTCTCACAAAGAATCACATATGATAATAATGAGTTAATACATAATTTAAATTTATATAATAAAATAGTAGACTACAATCTTCATAATAAAAAATATGAGGAAAATAGCAAGAATTATTCTCAAATGATTAAGGAACAAAAAGAAAATTCTAATTGTTACGATTCAATTTTTATTAAGAAAAAAAATAATGAAAAATATTCATGCTACAATGAAAAACAAATGAAAATGTATCATCATGATTTTTATGACAATATAATCCATAAAAAGGTGATGAATTATAGTTATTATTTAGTTAAGAAACATTAGAAAATAAAATATTATTGATAATAATATGTTTACATAAACACAATATTATAATTTTTTTTAATCTTTTGTGCAGCCAAATGAACCCAAGTATATGTTTAGTAAATATAATAATCAAGAAAATTCTCCATTAAATCTTAAATTACTTAAAAATAGAAACAGTTTAAATAGTGTAAAAATGGAAGAAAAAATATTAAATAAATATGAAAAAATATTAAAAGTTATGAAATATTTAAGAAAAATAAAAACAAAATATCCAGAAATTGAAACAATTGTATCTATATTATCTAATCATGTTAAAAATGTTACTTTTAACTGCGAAAAAATGTTTGATTCTAGATCTCAATTAAATGATTTCTTAAAAAAAATTTATATTTATCAAATTTTTCTATTAAAAAGTAAATACACATACTATTATTAAAAATATATATATATATTTACCATTTATTAAATAATTAAGTTAATATTTATGTAAAAAAAATATTAATATCTATAACATCAAAAAACATTGGTATCTGATATTCATCTAAAAATTTTACAGAATACTACTAAAAAATAATTGTATATATAACACTTTTTTATTTTTATTTTGTTATTAGTATTTTAAAAATAGAAAATATATCTATTATAATTAGTTAAATTCTTCTTAAAATTAATAAAATTAAAAAGGATATCTATTTTTTTTTAAAGTAGAATAGAGAGTATAAAGAATAAAAGTCTAAATATTTAATTAATCATTATATTACTAAAATCACGTTATATTTGATGATAATACTAGATTAAAATAAATAACAAAAAATGTAGTGTATTAACCATTTTGTCTACAAGAGCAGTATAAAACTCTTATTTAATTTTCTTTTATTTATATTTTTTATCACAGAAGTAGTCTTTAAAGATCAAAATATTATGAAAAATAATAACATCAATAAATATCATAACAATAATACGTCAAGAAATAAAATACGTTTCATTTCAACAGATGAGAAAAATTTAAGGTTCTTTATATTATTTATTTTTTTAAAGGACATATATATATGTATATATATATATATATATATTGTAAAAAATTTCTTATTTTGTTATATGAATATTGATAATAAATAAAAAAAAATATATATATATATAAGATTATGAACTAAAAAAAAACCATTTATTAAATAATAATTTATTAAAATGCAAAAAAAAAAAAAAAATATATTATATATTTGTATATTTAAAAATTTCAGAGATTATTCAATAATTCTAGAAGATAGCAGTAGAAATGATCATTTTATGTTGAATAATTTAGACAGAAATATATCATTCAACACACATAATAAAAATATAAATGAAGATATAAAAAAGCATGAAGGTAAAAAATATGAAGAAAACGATGAAATATTTAATAGAAAATATGAAAAAAATAGTAAGGGAAAGCATGAAAAAGGTATACATGAAATATTAGAAAGTAAAAAAGGAAATTTTATTGATAAAGGAAATGAACATATAAAAGGTGATTTATATAATGAATATAAAATAAAAAAGAATATATACAATGAGTTCCAAGTTGATAAAAATGTAAAAAATATAGATGAGAAAGTAATTAAAGACAATACGAATAATTACAAATATAAAGATATATACAACAATTATGATTTAGAAGAAATAGAAAAAAAGTGTTCTTATGATTATCATATAAAAGATAAATATTATGGAAATACAAAATTTATATATGGAGAAGAAGAGAATATCAAAAACAAAAAAAAAAAAGAGAAAATTAAAAAGAAAAATGAAAATATTTTAGATATTGATAATGTATTGAATAAAGTAATTACTCAGCAAAAAAATGAAAAATTTATGAAAACGAGTGAAAAAGATGCATTATATAAAAGAGAGCTATTTGAAAAAATAGAGAAAAATAATAAAAAGAACATACTAAATAGAAATTCTAATGAATGTAAATTAAATGACTATGAACCCGAGGAACTTCACAAATATACAAATGGAAATAATTTGAAATATTTAGCATATAAAGAGAGTAATATTTTAAATGATGCATTTAAAAACAATTCATTAAATATTTAAACCTAAAAAACAAAAAAAAATATATTTGCTTTTAGGAGAGGGTGAATTAAATTTAAACGCACTTAATTTAGAAAGTAATAATTCTGCTTTTAGAAATAGATTTCAAAGTGGAAAATATAAGAAAAAAAGTATTGATGAAGAAGAAAAAAAAACGCATGTATTATATTATGATGTAAATAAAGAATTAACAGCTATTTCTAATAGAGAATCTGTTACGCATGCATTAAAATATACTCTTCTGAATAGTAACATAATATTGAAAATAAAAAAAAAGTTTTATATTTTTTACTACATATATGTATATATTTTTTTTAATAGAACCAAAAAATTTTGCAACTCTACAAAATTTCTTATTTAAGATAGATGTTGAGTTAGTAGACTATAAAAATTTTATTTTGTTGATAACGAAGGATATAAAAGAACCGCATTTAGAAGCCTTATACGGATTAAATGATTTTTCTATTTTTGAAAAGGTTATATTAATTATGGAGAATTGTATCTTTTTTTTTTTTTTTTTATAATTATGCAACATATTATAATGAATTTTTTTTAAAAATATATTTTTCTGTTTCTCTTTTATATACATATGTTTAGGTGTATGGAAAAAAAGTAGCTCCCCGATTTTTAGTTCCAAGCAAAGTTAAGGCTTTTTATAAATATGATAAATTTTATCAAACTTTTAAAGAACTTACAAATGTAAAAGATTTTAGCGGCATAACAGATGCAGTACAATTAATTTAACAACTGTAAAGTGAAAAAAAATTTATAATTGTTGTTACTGTGTAATGTTAAAAGAATATAAATTTAACATTCACCATTTTTTTATATAGAACCATTGTAAGTAGAAATTATATAAAATATGTGTTTCCTAAATAACTTAACAGGTAAGGAAAAAAAAAAAAAAAAAAAAAAAAAATATTTTTTTGTATATAAAAATGTAGATTTTTCCTTTAAACTCGGATTGTAATATATATATTTTTTAAGTTTTTAAATTATACTTTTTTTTATATTTATAAATGTTAAAATATTTAAAAAATGTTTTATATCATATAAAATTTAAGAAAGTTGCACAATAAAGTTACTTCTTAAAAACAAAAATAGAGCACAATATACTTACATGGGAAACGAAAAAAAAAAGCTTCTACTCCAATGTTACAATGCAACGATTTATTTTCTTTTCATAAAGCCTTAATATTAAAAAAATGTAGGGTATAATTGTTAATTTGTTTTTAAAATTTTTTTTTTAGTTTTTCCTATATTTATGGCTATTCTATTTATTCTCATAAATTTATTTTTGGAAATTATATATTTCACCTATTTAACATGAATCCTTTTTAATTTTGCATGAACAAAAAATAATTATGCATATTAATTTTTTTTAAATTTATTAATTCAATACTATATGCTTAAACCTTTTTAATATATACAAGAAATAATTTTAAAGAAGGTAAAAATATTGAAATAGTTATAACAAAAAAAAAATTATTTGAAACATCAACCTTCACTTATTACACTACTAATAAGTATTTGCAAAGTGCAATTTTAGGTTCACACACATAATTCCATAACTTTTTTTTTTTTTTTTGGAAAAATTTCCATCGTATGTTTATATTGAAAAAAAGAAATATTCTATATAATTATTTTATATAATAAAAAAAAATTAATTGAAAATCACAAAAAAATAAAAAAATATAATCTTAGATCTTTAACAAATTTAATTTTTTTTTTTTTTTTTTTTTTTTTTTTTTTTGATTTAATCTATTTTTTTATATGTTAACTAAGGTTATCTATTTTTATCGTGATGTTTTTGTTCTTTTTAAAAATTTATAATAAAATTTCTCAACTTTTATGTTCTAACTAGCCTTATAGTTTCAGTTCTACTATTATTTTTTAATTTAAATAATTAGAAGTTAATAAATTTTCATTAAAACAAATATTAATATTTATATTTATATTCATACTTTTTTTAATTATGATTGATCTAACACTACTAATTTAAAAAAAAAAAAAAAAAAAAAAAAAAAAAAAAAAAATGGCTAGTAGACAAAATGACAAACTAAAAATTGAAACAGGGAAAACAAAACAATTAATTGAAAATTTTCTATATTCAAAAAAAATAAATTACATAGAAAAAAAAAAACCATTAGATATTTTCCAAAAAAATACAAATGACATAATTAAAAATTCAAATAAAAACATTTTATTTAATTTAAAAAATACTGAGGCTGATTCAAAAGTTAATGCTTTGTATAAATTAAATAAAGAAGCTTTTTATGCAAATAAAATAAAATATAATTCAAATTTACAAATTAAAAAATACACACTAAAAGAAATTCTTCTAAAAGAGAAGAGTAATAAATATTCTAATATATTAAAAAAAAAATTTCTAGATGAAATAATAAAGAAAAAAATTGTGGCAAAAAACAATAAAAAAAGTATAGATAATATTTCATTTAAACTAAATATAGATAATTCAAAAAAGGGTGTTAAGAAATTCTATAAAATAAAGAATCCAAATAATCCTTTTTTCAAAGGAGAAAAATCTGTTTCTTATATTACGGAAGGAATAAATAATACTAATAATATAGATAGGAAAAAATTACAGCAAAATATTAAAGAGGATGCAAAAATTTATTGTTGCACATATTTTAAAGAATTAATTAAGAGTAGACACACAAATATAATAAAATTAGAATACCATTTAAAAAATATAGATAAATCCCAAAAAAATTTAAAGGAAGTTAATATATATTATGGCACAATGGATAATAATAATGATTATTGTAGTAATATAAGTGAAGTTATCTCTAATAATAAGAATAAGAGTAATAATATTTATGCTAATAATTCATATAATTATGATAATGACAAAGAAAAAATAACAAAAAATAGTGCATCTGTTGAAAAAATAATAAAATACAATGATGAAGAATTAAAAAAGAAATTTTATAAAAGAGAAGATAATGATAAAACCTCAATAGTGAATTTTTCTGAAAAATATTATGAAAATATGTCTTCAAAATATAACAAAAATAATGTAAGTATTAACATTAGTAATAATTATAATGATAAAAACAATAGTAATAATAACACTAAAAGCAATAAAAAATTAGTTTATAATAATAATAGTAATATAAATATTAATAATATTAATAATAATAATAATAATAATAATAATAATATTATCAATGGTAATGAAAGTAATAGTAATGATATGAATTCACTGAAAACAAAAAATGATTTGGAAGAAAATAAATGGATTGAAATCGAAAAAACTTATCATTTTTGGGATGCTTTAAAAAATAATTTTAGAAATGTATTTTTAATAAAATCAGATGATAATAAAGAAAACAATGATGATGATTTAAAGATAAATGAAAATAATAATTACGAAAATAAAGAAAAAAATAATACAATAATATCAAAAAAGGAAAAAAAAAAAGGTAATTATAAAAAATGTTTTCCATTATCTATAGATTCTTATGTAAAATGTTTGAATTTTTTAAGTGTAGATAGGATTTTAGAATGTGAAATATTAAATAAATTAACTAGTTATGTAATAAACAATCGAATAAATGTTTTTACTCATATTAAAAAACTAAACTTGGATGAAAAATGGTCCAAATTACCAATTTATAAAAGACAATTTTATTTGCATCAAATGAAGAATGTTAAACATATTAAAACATCAGAAAAAATTTATTCAGGAAATGGGATATATATACATGAAGTTGCTGCGATAATATTTCAGAATGTATCTAATTTAAAAACATTAGAATTATTATCACCAGAATACTTCATGAATGACAATACACCTCGACATGAACCTTTTGCTTTATGTCCTTCAGTTTTCGAAAAGTTAGAAAAATTAACTATCATTGGATGTCAAACATTAGAATGGCTACATATTTTTCGCAATTGTTCATTTCCATTATTAAAAAAGTTTGAGGTTTGCTATTATCCGTTACACCATGACCATTGGTTTTGGGAGTTTATTTTTGATTTCACGACATTAGGTTTACAAGGTTTATATAAAATGTTATACACAATGGAAAATCTTCAAAAATTAATTATAGGATTTGATGTTTTGTTTGATAGCATTGAAGGAGATTTATATAATCCTATAGATAGTCACAGAAATGTACTACAAGAATATAGTATTATTAATAATAGTAATCAACAATTTAATAGTTCATATATTCCTCCTGCCAATGGGAATCCATCAAGAAAATACAAAAGCTACAGAGGAAGATTATGTGAAGAAGATTTTAGTGATATTTTTACTATCGCTTATTACATATCAGGAAAGTGTGGGAAATTAAAAAGGATTATGATAAAGTATAGAAATTCATATGATTATTATGATGATGATATAGATAGAGATGAATCACTTAATGAATTTTTTTCTGAAGCTGCAAATACTGCATCTTCTTATTATAATTATGTTCTTAACTGGTTTAGGTTTCCAGATGAAAGAATTTCAAGAGATTAAAAGAATCAAATTAAATATATGGATAATATAAAAAATTTAATAATTCTCGATAAAATAAGGATATGCAAAAAAAAAAAAAAAAAGAAAAAAAAAATATATAAAATTATGATAATGAACTATTATAATTCAATAATTAACAAAACAAATTTTAAGAGCAAAAAAAGAAAACTTTTTTTTATAATGTAAATAACCATAGATGTGCTATATACTATATTCATAATAAATATCATTAGAATAAAAAATTTAAGTTAGGTTTTAACATGTTAGAAATAAATGAAAATTATATAGTATTATTTATAATATGAATAATTCATTATACTTTAAATGAATGTTTTATTGTTAGTAGGATGAAATTACATAAAAAGCTATTATAACTTTTTTTTTTTGGTTAATATTATTTTAAGCATTACCACAAGTATAATAAAATATTAGAAAAAAATATAATAAGAGGCATTATTATTAAAATATTATTGTATAATATATGTAATAATTATTAAAAGAAGTAAAAAATATTTAGTATAATAAAATTAGTTCAGTTAAATATAAATAAATAAAATGAAAGGAATATTTATTATTTATAAGGTAAAGTAGATTAACAAAATGAAGTCATTATATAATGTCTATTTAAAAATTGTTCACAAGTATGACAAAAATAAAAAGAAAAGACAGTTTCTTTTTTTCTTATGGAAAAATATTCAATGTACATATATATATATATATTTTATAACTACTTTTAAATATTTCAAAATTTTTTTCTTATTTTTAAATTTTCATAAAAATTTATAGAGATTATAATTTATATTTCTTTTAAAAATTAAACAATATTTGCTTTTTTAAAATTAAATAATACTTTTAATAATAATAAATTTAATAAATTAGACATGATATTTATACTTTTTTTATTATTAAAAAGAAAAAAAAAAAAATCAGATTTTATGTTTTTATCGTAACAATTTATATTTTTTTTTTACCTATTTATGTTAATTTTATTATTTTTCATGAAGTGTATTTCCTTATTAATATATTTCATTTTAAATTATAATTTAAATTTATTTTAATGATTTTTATTTGTATTTGTAATAATTTCATTGAACTATCATATTATTATATATTGATACATTCTATTCTAGCTTTACCTCATTAATTACATTTGATATCATTTTATTCTATTTTGCCATATTTTAATATACCTTATTAAATACCACTTTTTCTTTTATTTAAACTATTATTTTAAATGCAAATATATTTTTAATCATATTTATAATTTTAAAATGTAAATCTTATTTTTTATCTTTTTTAAGTTTTTATTTATTTTTAAATACTTATTTTTTTTTCTTTCACATTTCTTTTTAGAATTGTAGTATTTTAATAACTTCATCTCATTTTTATATTCCTATTTTTTATCTTATTTTCATTTATAAATTAAAATATTATTTTATAGTATATTCATACTTGCTTTTTTATAAAAATAGAAAAAAAAAAAAAAGTATAATTTACATAAACATATATAGGATACAAAGTCAATATTAAAAAAAATTAAATATATTAAAATATAAAAACAAAATAGAGGAAAAAGGAAAATATTGTAAAAATATTATCAAATTAATTTAATTACATTTATATGAATATTTTAAAGATATATGATTCATTTCAAATTTTAATAAATATCAGACATATGTTATTAAAAAAGTTTACAAGAAAAAAAAAAAAAAAAAAAGAAAAAATACATACGATTTTTACTTGAAGAAAATGTAAAAATTTTAGTAGTAACAAAAATTAGTGAAAATATCTAAATTACTGATGGTATTTTTCCTAATTCAAAATTATTATATACCGGTTTATTTGAATTGTCTAAACTTAATGGTTGCCTAAATTTTATTTTTTCTACATGTAATAAAGGATAATATATACTCAAATTAATATTTTCATTGTCTATTTTTTCATTAATATTAATATTTTTTAAAACTGTCATCTCATTTTCATCATTTTTTGAAAAAATTTTATTATATAAGTCATCGTTTATATCAAATCTTTCTGCATTTTTACATTCTTCAATTGCTTTTATATAAAATATGCCATTGTTAAAAGATTCATAGCATGGAAAGGTATAAATGGTAGATCTGTTTTCATTATAGCTATTTAAATTATAAATGTTTATTAATTCTAATGATTTTATAAAGTTTTCATTAAAAAAAAGTACTTTTTTTTGAGTATTCTCTATATATTTTTTTTCAAACAATATTTCATTTTCATTTGTAAAAGAAGTTTGATTTAATTTACCATCTTGATTCTTTCTTTCTATTTCTTTCAATGAATTTATATTACTTGTTTCTACTATAAAATTAGAATTAGCATTGTATTCAAATGAATTATTTGTGTTATTATTTGGATTAATTTGATTATTATATCCCAATTCATAATTATCTTTTTGAGGAATTTTATTTCCATTGTAAAATAATTCATTTTTATTTATATTTAGTTCAACATTATCTAGAAATTTATTAGAAGCGATTAGATTTGTATCGTTTTGTTCCTTCAAAATTTTTTCTGTGATATTGATATTATTTTGATTAGGAATATTAATATTTGAACTATTTACATTAAAATTACCAATATTCGGTTGTAATATATTATTGTTTTGCAATAAATTTGAATAATTTGATAAATTATTTACTTCATTAAATGAAAAATTATTTTTTTCATTATATAAATTGGTTTGTGCATTTATAATATTTTGTTCATTAAAGGATGTGAAATTAGGATGTGTTGTATCTTTGTTATTGGAATTATGATATAAATATGGATATTGAAAATTATTAGGAATATTATTAAAATTATTAGAATTTATATCGTTGTATCTTGGTATATTGGTAGATGTGTTTGTGATTAAATTATTAGAAAATGGACTTACACTTTTTACGTTTAAATTATTTTGAACATTTAAAGAAGCGGGACTATACATATTGTGAAATAAATTATTTTTTTCATTTATTTCATTACTTATATGTTTTGTTGTGTCATTATTACTACATGTATTATATATATAAGAAAAGTCTTTTTGGTCATAATTATAATTTATATGATTATTATTTTGATTACTTAATTGGGTTAGATTTTCCTTAGATATATTATTTAAATTTTGATCATTTAATGAAATGGGATTTTCATTTTTAATATTTGTGAAAAGTGGCTTTCTTTCTTTTAATCGATTCCCAAATATTGATTTATCACTACTTACATAATCATCGAATCTGAAATTAATATTTGCATTTTTATTTTCTATTGTTGAGTTATTAGCAAATAATGGAGAATTTTTAAGTTTATTTCCGAAAATTGATATATTTTTTTTTACTTCAGTGAAAAGAGCTTCTGAATTATTATTAGTTACTTCTCCTTTACTAAAAAAATTAAAGCAATTTTTATTTTGAAAGTTATTAAAATGTAAATTATTATTTAAATTATCAAACATATTAATATTATTATCATTATTTTCATTTGTTACAACATTTTTACTAAAAAAATTAGTTGAATATGTATTTGAATCATTATTAGGTAAGTTTGTTAGCAGATCAAAAAAATTATTATTGTTGTTATTATTATTATTTTGAAAAGCATCTATTTGATGTATACTCTTATTAAAGTCATTGTTGTTCAACATTTTTTATGATTTTATTTTATATTTTATATTATTTTATTTTATCCTTTTATATAAATATATATCTATTTATTATATTATGTTGTTTTAGTAATATATAAAAAAAAAAAAAAAAAAAGAACTTATAAGTAAAATATGTGTTTTAATAACATATAAAAAATACATAAAAAAAAATTAATCAGAATTTTTAATACTTTTTATTTGAAATGCAAAATTTTTATAAATTTCAAAAATATTAAAAATAATAGTTTTTTTTTTTTTTTTTTTTTCATGACAAAAAAAATTCTCAAGAAATCTACAGAAAAAAGAAAATTGTATAATTTAATTAAAATTTTATATTTTGAGGAAATTTTTTTTCAAAATTATGTGCATATAGGGCGGCATATATATATATATCTTATTTATATTTATTTATTCATGAAAATGTTTTTAATTATAAGATATTATTTTTTATATTTTAAGTAAATGTAAATTTTTTTTTTTCTTGTTTGTTTTTTCAATATTATGATTTATATATATATATTTAAATTTTTTTTTTTTTTTTTTTTTAAAGCGTACACGTATACATGCTTAAAGGAAATAATATTTTTTTCAATATATGTAATTTTTTTTTTTTTTTTTTTTTAATAAATAAATTGATACATTTTTTATAAATAAAAGATTTTAATTGTTGATATTACACTTTTTCTTTTAAGAAATTGTAAATAGTACTATATATCAAGAATATTATTTATCTATATGATTTGATAAATTTTTAATATTTCAGAATTATGATTCTTTTTATATTTTATGTTTTCATAGAATTGCTTTAAAAAAGAATAAGAACAAACACATTTAAGTTACATTATTTCAAGATTAATTTCTTCTAAAACCTATTTAGCAAAAATTTTCCGTGTGCATATATTAAGTATTCATATGACATTTCAATTTTGATTTATTTATTATTTTTGGTAGGTTATGTTATATTTATTAATTTTAAGTAAATTATAATGATATTATGAAATTAAATTATTTTTATGAATGAAGAAATCTCTTTTTTAAAAATTAATGTATAGAAAAAAGCTTCATATTTTAACTGTGAATTTTAATAACTTATTTTTAATTTTTGTTCTAAAATTAAAAGAATTTGATGGTGCTAAAACACTATGTTTTTAAAAATAAAGTTTAGCTTTTCCATTTTTATTAATTTAATAAAGTTATGTAAAAGAAAAGAAGAAAAAAACAAATTAAAACTTATTATTATTAATTTATATATTATGTAAAAAAAAAAAAAAAAGAAAGAAAAAAAGCATAATAAAAATACAAAATCGAATATTATATGAAACTTTTTATATTTTGCAATGTAATTATAATATTTAATATCCAAATGAAATATATCCATAATAATATGTTTTATATAAAAAAATTTAGACGATTATCCATATGTTTCAACTTTTTTATGTTATTATTTTTAATTTATGCAATTTCTCCGTTTTCATGGAACATATTTAATTTTTCATATTCTTCTCTTTTTTTCATTAAGTAATATCCAGCAGTTTCTTCGTCATCTATATTATAAAATAGTAAGCTTAAATTAACATTTTTTTCAATTTCTTCAACAAGTTTTTGTGCTGCTTCCTTGATATTATCAAGTTGAGAAGAAGTGGAAGCTAAAAGACCACTTTTTCCTGTTGATGCAACTTTACTTAATAAAATAGATGATCCTTTTAATGCAGCTAGCGATCCTCCAGCTTTTGCAAAGGAAAGTTGAGCTACCCCCGCTTTCCATATTAATGGGAATGCAGATGATAATACTAATGGTATTTCAATAGGCATCTTAAATGTAATTTTTAATACATATAAATATACGTTAAAATTGCTTTTTTACAAAATTGAAGTAGAATTATACTAAAATGCAATTTTTTGTTGAAATAAGAAAAAAAAAAAAAAAAAAAGTATAAATAAAAAAGAATTAACGAAGAACAAAGCTTTATTTTCCAAATTTTAAAATTTGCTTATAGATGCAGGAAAAAAAAAAAAAAAAAAAAAAAAAAAAAAAAAATTCTGAATGAGGTGCACTTAAATATAAGAATAATTTATGTAAAAAGATTAAAAATTAAGAACAAATTTTCACAAACAAAATAATACTAAAAAATGAAATAAAGAAAAAATATATATATAAATATGTATATATTATATGCATGTATATAAATGAGCTATTTTAGTGTATAACTTAAAAAAAAAAAATAATGTAAGATTCTCTTTAGTAAGAGAATAATTGTTGTATAAAACCAAGATTGGGGAAAATATAAGATTTATATAAAAAACCTAAAATGAAAAAAATATTATGTAAAGCATATAAAAAAAAAATATATATATATATATAAGTATATTATACATATAATATTTTTTTATATAAAATAAAAGAATATACTCAAAAAAAAATTAGAAACAAGTGAAACTCCTATCATAATTTTTTTTCCTTTGTCATAATAAAAGGCTAATATTTTCCAATTAAATATTTAATAACTGAAAAATTAAAGATTGTTTTTTTTTCTTTTACATAGCCTATTTCTTATTCAAAAATAAAAAGGGTGTATGTTTATATATATTAATTTAAAAAAAATTCTTAAAAATATTTATCAAAAAAAGCTATTAAAAAAAAAATGAAAGTAAAAACATATTTATATATATATATGTTTTAAAATAAAATATGAAAAATCAAAAACTTTTTATATTTTTAAATATTTATAAAATAAATACTAAAAAATAATTAAATTCTATATTTTTATTAAAAGGAAAAATACATTTTTTTTTTTTTTTTTTTTTATATTCATAAATTTTAATTTTTGTTCATTTTCCTTTATAGAATAATTTTAACAATTATTTTTGTCTCCTGATGTTTCAACTTTATGTTTTTTAAGTCTATTTTTGTAATAATCAATATATAAATTGTTAATTTTCCTTTTAAATTTTAGAGCTGCTATTGCAATTTCTTCATTTCTATGATCCATTAATTTATAACAAATATCGAATATATTTGAGTTTTCTATATGTTTTAAATGAAAATTAAAGTTGTTAGTAACATAAATTAAACCTTTTAACAATGTTTTCATGTCATTTTCATCTTTAGATTTTTGCAATTCAATTAATTTACTTAAAAAATTTTCAAATTTTCTTTTTTGCTTTTCCTCATATGAAACAATATTTTCATTTATTGTATTTATATCTTCTTTCATTTTTAAATCCTCATTTTTATTTTCTTCTTTTTCAGTTATTTTATTTGATTTATTAATCAAATATATAAGCTCTGGACATTGCTCTGAAAATATATCATTGACGGATTTTTGTGTTGAACATTCTTGTTTCATAGTATCATTTTTTATAGCATCTAAATAGTTTTCATTCTTGTTTAATTTTGCATAATCATCTAACTCTTTTATTCTTTTATTAATTATTTCAATTTTTTTTTTTTTATCTTTAGCTACTACTTTTTTACTATACATTCCTATAATAGATTCTACATCAAAATATTCTTCTGTATCAATATCTTTTTCTTCTTTTTTCTTTTTACTATTTTTTTTATAATTATCATTATTATTTAAACTATCTTTTGTATCAATGTCAATGCTTTTTATGCATTTTTTATCATCATTTTTATTTTCATCATTTTCATTATTAATTTGTTTTCTCTTCTTATGTGTTTTATTTTGCTTAATGTGATATTTACAATAATATCCATATAATGGGGCATAAAGTGTTATTTTACAGTTACTACCACTTTTTGTTATTCCTTTACATCTTTCTAATCCATCAATTAAACCTATTAATCTTAAATTATTTTTCTTGTGTATTTCTAAGATTCTTGAATTATAATATTGAGGATCTTTTTCTTTCATCAGAGGATTAATTAAAGCAACTACAACACCTTCTTTTTCATTTTCATTTTCTTCACAAATTTCCCCAGATAAAAATAATCGTGATTGTGTTTCTTTTAAATCAGAGATATCCCAAAAGATATATTTTTCTTCATTATATTTTCTTACTTTATATGGTATATTAACAACAGTACATATAATAATTATTTCTTCGTTCTCTATTTTATTTTTTATATCATCATCAAATTTAGATAAATAATCAGAAAAATACATTATTTTTCTATTTCTAAAAAAAGCTTCACAATCTTCTATGCTTGTAATCCATTCTTTTATATTTAAATGAATATCATTCGCTTTTATTTTATTCTTGTCTATTATAATTGATTCTTTATTTTCCATATAGTTCAAAATAATAATAAAAAAAAAAAAAAAATTAAGATACTATAAAACTAAAAATAACAAAAAATGTAATTTATTTTTATAATACTTTTTTTTTTTTTATTACTTATTTTATTAAAAACATAGAAGACTTAATTTATTTCTTTTTTTTAATTAAAAAAATAATTGTTTATATTTAAGAAAATAAAATTAATTTATGTTAAGTATATTTGTCTTTTCATTCAAATACTTCTTATATATATATATATATATTTTTTCAAATAATATATAATTAAATTAATAAACTATATAACAAAATCTTAAAAATAACGGCATAGTTTTCATTAAATTATTAAAGAAAATAAAGAATTATTATACATATTCGTAAGAAAAAATAAGGTTAAAATATAACTAATTAAAATAAAAACAAATTAAATACAAAATATTACACATAATTTTTCATAAAAAAAAAAAAAAAAAAAATTGAAATTTTTATCTAAAATGAATTTTTAAAAGACATTTTTTTATGTTAATAATTTATATAAAAAGAGAAATTTTTTTTTTTTATACTTAATTGCATTGATATATTAGAACTTTACATATTTGATGTTTTTAAATTATATAAAAAAACCGTTTAATGATTTATTTAAATTTTTGTTTTCTTTATAGTTAATTTACATTAATATCATTTTAATAAATTATTACCAAAAAAATAATATATAATTAAGGTGACTTTAAATTTATGAAATTTTTTAACTTACAAAAATGTTTTGAGATATACAAAACATTACAAAATATAATACGAGTATTGAAAATTATATTTTAAAAATTTTTTTTTTAAATATTATAAAAAAAAAAAAAAAAAAAAAAAAAAAAAATTACAATACTAGATACAACAACTACTTTTTATTATATATTTTAACACTTTTTTATTTTATTTTTTTTTTATTTTTTTTGTGTTTTTCATTATTTGATTGTTTTTATTAAATTTTTTTAAAAATTTGTTAAATTAAATAATTTTTATTTTTAGTAACCAAAATATTCAGCTATAATAAAAATATATTCCATTTGAAAGTAAAAAAAATGAATAAAAATGAATTTAAAAAAAAATATGAATTATACAATTACAAAAAATTATAATGAATTATCCAATTCCCAGAAAGAACAAAAAATTTTATATCAAAATAATAACAAAATTGTACTTAATGAATCAAAAACTAATGATATAAAGAAAGAAGAATTAGATATGAAAAGTGAATATGTGAATATTCATGATCACTTTAAAGGTGATAAAGATGCATTAAACATCTCTTATAATTTAAATATGGAATTTAATAAAAATGAAAATAATAAAGTTAAATATTTGAATTCTCAAAATAATGAATTATTATCAAATGCTTATTTTGAAAATATGTTTTCTCCATATACAAATAAATATTTCAATGATAACAATAATTATGATTATATTATTAATAATAATAAAATAAATAATAATTTTAGAATTAATTACTATAATATTAGCAATAAAAGTAACAATATTAATTACAAAAAGAATAAAAAATACAATAATAAAGTTTTTTATACCAATGAAAAAAATGCTCCTTTTTTAAAAAGTGATAATTTAAATAAAAATAAGGAACAAAACAATATTCAACATAAAGAAAACATTTTAAATAGTTGTTTTATGAATAATTTTAATAAAAAAAAAAATAATAAGAGAAGTGAGAATTTTGTTAATTACAACACTTTGAAAAAGTTTAAGAGTAATTCTAATTTAGGTGATAATAATGTAAATGATAATAAGAATAATAGTTTTAATAAGTGTTTGAAAGAATATACATGTGAAAATAAAAATTATTTAAATAATGGAATTCTAATGAATCATAGAATTATCGAAGGTAATATTAGTCATAATATCAGTACTAATGAATATTATTTTAATAATAATAATTTGAATATTGTAGATGATTCAAACAAACAAAGTTATGTAAATAAAAATAATAATAGAAACTATGGGAAAATAAAGAAAAGACATAAATCTATGAATAATTTCAATGAAATTATGAAAATAAAAAAGAAAAATGTAAATAAAGACACGAATGATAATATAAATAACAACAATGCAGATAACCATACACCAAAATTTATTTATTGTAAATATTGTGATATAAACATTGAAGAAAATAAACTAGAAGAACACAATAAAAATCAGCATATAAAGTGCCCAATAGATAATTGTAATGATATATATAATATTGATTGTCTAGAATTTCATTTATTAAATCATATGAAAAATGATAAAGATGAAAATATTTTAAATAATCCAAAAGAAATAGAAAAGTGGGTTAATGAAAGAAAAAAAAATTATCCAACAAGAAAAAAAATAATGAATGATAAAAATAATAAAATACCTAAAATAAAAAAAAAACCAAGTTGCTTAATTGAAGAACTATTATTTGAAAGGTATTACTCAGCAATAGGTAGAAATTTATATTATAAAAAGGAATTACAAAAATCATTATTCATTCCTTTATTAACTAAATTATCTCAGAATAGTTTTCATAATATTTATGAGAATGATTATTATAACATTTCAAATGATAACCTTAAAAGGGAAAAAAAAAAAAAAAAATTTTCAAAAAAGCAAATGATTGACTCTTTAAATATTCATAAAAAGCCACCATTACTTTATCAATTAATGAAAAATGAAATTTATATATATGAAAAAAAATTAATGAAATGTATAGAATATATAACAGAAAATAATTTTTTTGACAATACTTTTGATAAAAAAAATGATATTATTGAATTAAAATAACAAAAAAAAAAAAAAAAAATAATATTTCAAAAATAATCAATAATTCTTTTATGTAAAAGAATTTTTTTAAAAATAAATTTTTTTTTTTTTTTTTTTTTGTATATTTGTCTATTTAGAATTATTATTATTACTATATAAATATTAAAACATTTGTTATTAGTATTTGACTTTTAATATTTACTTTTTTATTTATAAGTATAAATTTTTAATTAAAATTTTTTTTTTTTATAAATTTATAGTATATAAATAAAATAGATATAACTTATTAAAAAATTATTTAAATATATATTTATTTTAAATAGTTCTCATTTTTAAATGCATAATTAATTATTTATTTGTTATTCATTTCTTTTTTTTAAAAAGAAAAATTTTTTATTTCAGATGTATTAATTTAATTTTAACTTTTAAAAATAAATACTCTTTTTTTTTTAATAAATGTTTATAAAAAAAGTGATTTTCCACAATCTTCGTCTAATATATTAATTAACCTACTTCTATCAATATTCTGACAATATATTAATGCATTTTTAATATCTGCATTCATTTTCCCTTTTCTTTTACATTTAGAACTTCCATAATTAATTCTACATTCTATTGCTTTATATTTAGCTTCTTCCATACCAAATCGAAGAACTGAAAAATATTTTCGTATATATCTTCCATTTTCTGTTCTTAATCCTGCAACCCATCTATTTTTGATTCTATCAAAACTTACACCAGGTATTGGTGGATCATGTTTCATTAATATAGAATTGCCATAATCTTTTTTATTTCTTCTTTTCTTCTTTTCATCATCAGTTTTTATCTTATAATTTTCCAATTGATTGGTATCTACTGTTTTCTTTTTACTATTATCTAAATCATTTATATAATCTTCTATGCTATCAAAACTTTTGGATGTTCTACTATTACTATAAGAATGATCTTCAATATCATTATTTACAGTATTATTATTTTCTAAACCTTTTTTTAACAAATCATATTTTGAGTGAATAATTTCTTCTTTGTTTTTATTCATTTCATTTGTATTATTTTTACTAAAATCATGTAATGTTTCCTTATTTATTACTTGCTCATTTGCCGCTAATTTACATATACTATCTGGATTATTTTCCTTCTTTATATTTATATTTACATTACTATTATTATTTAATTTTATATCAATATTATTATTTTCAGTAATATCCTTTTCATTAAAATAATCATGATTTTTATTATCTATTCCTTCATTTATTTGTGTTTCATTATTTTTTGCTATTATGTTACCATTATTAATATTATTATTATATTCAATGAAACCATTACATTTTTCTATATTATTTTCTTTTCTTATTGTGTATTCTTCACTTTTCACTTTGTTTTTAACACATCTTTCTTGAAGACATTCTTTCATTTTATTATTTAATGAATGCAAACATTCCTCAAGTTCATTATTGCATATATTTTTTTTGTTTTTCATTTTTTCATTTATATTTTGATTTATTATATCTTCTTCAGAATTATTATTTAAAAAGAATGATTTTTCATTGTTTGAATATTCTAAAAAGTCAAATTGAGTTAATAATGTATTATAGTTTAAATTATATTTTTGCTTATTATATTTCCTTTTATTTTTATCATAATTAAGATCAATTATCTTTCTGTAGCTCTTATTTTTTTTTTTGCTATTGTTATAAGGATTGATAAGAATATTATCATTTATTTTATTTTCCAAACTTATATTTTTGTTAGTTATCTTTTTCATATAATTATTTAATGCATTATTTATGCACTTACTTATTTTTTCATTTTTAATTTTTTCCTCTAAGTTTTTCATACATTCATTTTCTGTGGTACTAGTACATTTGTAATTATCACTATCTTTACTATAATAAATAATATTATTATTTGTAAAATTATGATTTATTTCATTATTTTTTGCGATGTTATTATTGGCACAATTATAATTTATATCACTATTATTTGTTTCATTACTATTTTTACAATCATTATTTATATAACTATTACTTACATCATTCATATTATTATTTTTACAACTTTTGTAACTATCATTTGTTTCATTAATATTTTTATTATTATCATTTATATAACTATTATTTGTTTCATTAATACATGTTTCATTATTATTTATAAAATTATCTATTTCATTATTATTTAAATAGCTACTATTTGTTCCACAATTATTTTTACAGCTATTTATGCAACAATTATTTGTTTCTTTATCAATTGCATTATTATTTGTCTCAATATTATTTGAATTATGATTATTCATATGACTATCATTTGCTTCACTGTTGCATCTATAAGCATTACTAATACAATTTATATAATCTTTATCATTAAAATTATTTATTTTATTTATGTTATTTTTTGCATAACATACACTGATTATTTTCCTAATTATATCATCCATTAGATTATTTTTGATTTCTTCATTGTATATAGAATTATAATTATTTTTCTTTGTTTCTACTGTAAAATGTTTGCATATTTTTTTATTGTTAATTTCATTTTTATAATTTTCATTTTCTTCATCTATTCTTATTCTTTTTTTAACACATTTGTTTAATTTTTCTTTCTTCTCTTTGAATGAATCTGAACTATTGCTTAAATTCATGGAAACATTATTAACATCGTCATCTTTTTCTGATTTTATTTTTATGGATGATAAAATATTTTTTAATGTATCTGATTCAATATTATGAGGATTATTTTTCAAACTTATTATATTCCTTAAATAATTTGATGAAAAATTAGGGTTAGCTTCATCATTATTTGAATAAGTTGTATTTTTTATTTTAATAGATTCTGGTTTTTCTATACTTCCATCATTTAATTTATTTGATATTTTTAAATTATTATCATCTAATACATTTAATGCATTTCTTATTTTTAAGTTATTATATATGCTATTTAATGCATTTTGCTCTTTTGAATTATCATCACTTACATTATGTAATAATGTTTTTTCTACTTGTTTTTTTTTTGAATCATTTTTACAAGTGGATAATGTATTTTTAATATTACATATGTTAGCATTATTAAAAGTTTTATTTTCTTCATTTATAAAACAACTTATTTCTTTCCCAACAATATATTTTTTATTATTATTATTATTATTATTATCTTGGTTATCCTCACAACTTATTATATTTGATCCGAATAATAAAATACTACTTTTATTTATATTAATACTTGTTACATTTTTAACACAAATTATAGATTCTTTGTAATCATTTAAATCTATAATATAATTTGATTTTAAATTATCTCCATTTATATTTTTCATTTTAATATATTCATATGTTTTCATTGAATTAGTTAAGTTTATATGTGAACAATTTATTTTACTATCTGTATCGTATTTAATTTTTATATGATCGTTTAATGCTATATATTTGCCATGTGGATACAATTTTTTTGTTTTAGAGATATTAGTAAATGAATCAGAATTGTTTTTATCATTTTCATAAGCATGCATATTATTAAAAGAATTTTCATTATTCATGTTTGTTTCAATCTCTTGAATATTATCGAAATTTGTTTTTGTATCTTTTTTTTTTTTTTCTAAATTACATAAATAATTATAATTTAAATAACTATGTATTTTATTTTTTATGCAAACTTTATTATTAAACTTGTTTTCCGAATTTTCTCTTGGAAAGTTACCAGCCAATATCTTTTCATTACAATTATAATTATTCATATTTAAATTTTTAAGACTGACTTCATTAAATCTTCCAAAACATGAAGTATTGTTATTTTTAGATGAACAATAATTCATTTCATTTTTCTCTTTTAGTTTTGCAGTATTATTATTTTTGAAATGACATTTGCATTTGCAAAAACATTTTTCATTTATAACATTGTCACTATAATTTAGAAAAGATGCATTATGTAAGGGAGGATTTTCACTATTAACACTAGCATTTTTTTCTATTTTTGAATGATTATTTTTATTTAAACATTTACTATTTGTACAGCAATTATGGCTGTTAGTTTTATCATTTAATATTTGAGAATTTAAATTATTTCCAAAGTAATCAATTACTTTATTTTCATAATTGTTTAAAGGATCTTCTATATCTGTCAAATATTTTTTAATAATCTTCGCTAATATATATGCTCCTTGATTATTATTAAAATTACATTTATTATTAGTACAATTATTACTATTAATACAATTTCTATATTTATCTAAATTATTATCACAAGTACCAACATAATTGTTGTTAAAATTGTTAGTGTTAACATTTCCATATAAGTAGTTTACTACATGTTTAAAAAGTAACTCTTCATTATTATTATTATTTAATGAATTATTTTTTATATAATTAAAAAGCATTTCATTTTCATCATTCAGCATTTCATCAATTTTTAAATTATTTAAATTAATTTTATTTGTATTTGAAATTTTATCCATACTTTTTTCTATGTTCATATTATTGTTATTTGAACAACTAGTGAAATTATTCATTCCGATTTTTAATTCATTATCGCAACTTTTATTTTCATTTTGAGAATCCATAAAGTTGTAATGACATGGTGAAATGTCACACAGTGAATTTTTTATTTTTTTGTCATTTAATGTATCATTATTCTCTAATAATTTATTATTATCGAAATAATTTAGACATATAATTTTTATATTATCATTATTATTTTTGTTCGTATAATCCATTTCATCTGTTTTATTATCTTTTGATATTATTTCTTTGTTATTAAAATTATTATTATTGTTTGAATTTTTTTTTTTGTTTGTACTACCATCTATATATAATAAAATTTTTTTTTTTTTTTTTTTTTTTTCTTCATCTTCATTATATTCTTCTTCATTCACTTCTTTTCGTTTTAATTTTTTCTTATTCAATATATTCTCATTGTATGTGTTGCTTGTTGAAACTTTTAATTCATTTTTCAGTAAAAATTTGTTATATGATATTTTGTATTTTTCAAGACTATTTTTTATATATTCATTTAATAAAAGGATAAAATTACTTTTAAATGGAAAGCATATATTACATATTTTACTTAAGCTACTTAATATATTATTATTATTATTTTTTATTTGATTTAAAAATATAAAGTAAATATTTTGTATATTTTTTGGTAATGATTTTGTGCAACTCTGCTCACAGAGAATATATTTATAAAAAAATAATTGAAATATATTGTTTAAAATTATATTAAATTTTTGAAATATATTATTTTTATTGTTTTTGTTGATTGTGTTCATACATTTTTGAGTACATGTTTCTTTTAAATTTTCGATACTAATATTAGATATATTTTTTTGTTCTTCACTATTATCATGAGTTGTTTTTGAACTTTTTATATTGTTTGTTTTGCTACTATTTTTTTCAATATTATTATAACTGTTATTGGAATTATTATCAATATTACTTAGAAGATAATCATTTTTATTATTAAGCATGTTTTTTAATGAAGGATTACTATAATTAATATATGGAAAATTTGCATAAATATTTTCATAATTTATATTTGTCCGATTTTCATTACATATATTTTGAAAGAGTAAATTATTTATTCTATCATCTTCTTTAATGATATATTCATTTTTTTCTTTATCTTCACAATCACTTTCATTAATCATTTTTTTAATATCCATAAGATTATTATTATTATTATTATTATTATTTGTTTCGATTGTTTCGATTTTATTTTTCTTTATATTTTTATCAAAATTATAATTAATTTCACAATCTTCTTCATTCCTTAAATTATATTCTTCTGATTTTTCATTTAATTTATTATTGAAATTATTATTAATACTATATTTAATAAAATTTTGTAATTTACTGTTTAAATTATTAGAACTTGCAAAATCTAAATTTTTTTTCTCATTTAGATAATTTTTACATTTGTTGCAGTTTTCATTAAATGCATACTCATGGATATAATTTTTATTTATTTTATAAATTTTATTTTTCATGGAATTTTCTCTTTGATTTTTTAAAGAATCTAAATCTAATAAATGTTCACTCGTTTGATCATTCGTAATACTACATAACCTACTTATTTTGCCCTTTTTTTGTCTTATATTTTTTTCTTCCAATTTTTCTATTTCGAGATCATTTTTTGATTCTTTTGTATCATTATTTATATATGCATCATTAGAATTATTACTATGTAATGATAATCGATAATTATAAAAATAATTTTGCATATCTGTTCCTTTTAAAGAATTATTTTTTTTTATAATGGTTTCATTTTTTGATGAATATTCTTTATCTGTTAAATTAATAAAAAGTTTAAGTTTGTTTAATATATCTGTATATGGTTCTTTATCAAAATTTTCCTTAAATTTACATTTGTTTTCTTCTTTTTTGTTTTCATTAATAATATTATTCTGAATATCTAAATCATCAAATACATTATTAAAGCCAAAATTCTTTAATATATTTTTTAAATATTTTTTTAAAATAATTAATTCATTAATTCCATTACATCCATTTATTCTATTATAAGTATCTTCTTTAATATAAAAAGATATCAAATATTCTGATATGCATATATTAAAAATTACTTGTGATTTAATATAGGATATTTGTAAATTATTTAAATATTCTATTATGTCTTTTATTTCTCCATAATTTAAGTTTTCTAAACAATCTAAGGTAGAAAATTGATTAAAAATTAAATTATAAAAATAAAAATCATCATCAGATTCAAAATTTAAAATTTGTGCACAATGGAAATCAATTGGATTAATGTTAAAATTTCTATTAATATCTTTTTTATATTCATATAAATATTTCAAAAAATAAAGAAATTTTATTTTCTTTTCTTCAATATTCATCTTAATATAGAAAATATTTAAAAAAAAAAAAATAAATAAATAATAATAATTCAGAAATAAATAAGATTATTCAACATTAAAAATAACTTTAATTGTTATTATTTAATTCTTATTTGTTTTTCTTTTTTTTTTTTTTTTTTTTTTTTNGTGTGCATTAAAAGAAAGAAATAATTATATAAATTATTGTCCACAATTCTCTATATATATAACAAGTTCAAATTTAAAACTACAACATATATCAACGTTTCCATTAGCATTTTTTCTATTTAAGCAATGTCTCATAAAAAATTTATTTTTTTTTTTACCTTTTATTAATATAAAATATATTTTCTTTTTTAAAATGTTTCTAATATGAAAAATAATTGTAATTTACACTTATTTTTTCAAAAAAAATAATGTGGACAAAAAAAAAAAAAAAAAAATATATACATAAATATAAAACTAGACAAAACAACCAAATTTAAAAAATATCGTGTTATTTAAATATAAATACATTAAAATATATTAAGAAAACAGAAAAAATATCATAAAATTATAAAAAAAAACACAAAAACAAAATATATTTATATGATATTAAAATGTAAATATTTATTAATTATTTTCTTTTATTTTTATATCGTTTGTACTTTATTTGTATTTTATTTTTTATATCATTTAAAAAAATCTAAAAATGTTAATTTCTTTTAAATGTCTAGAATGTATGTTCATGTATCATATTAATATAGAAATATTTTCCTTATACACATTATATATATATATGTATACACACATATATATATACATGCGCATTTTTAAGTTTATCATTTACTTATTCCTAAAACCATACTCTATTTGAACTGCAACGTATTAAAATTTTTAATGCAACAATTAAAAAAAAAATAGAGAGCTAAAAATTAATAAAAAAAAATATAATTTATTATTACTTTTTTTTTTTTTTTTTTTTTTTTT